ACAACTTTACCAAACTATGCAGGGAAATGGGTGAATTTAATTGCATGTAAATTCTTCCTCAATAAAACTTGTCAATAAAAATGCAAGAAGTTGCCTGGGAGCCCCTTGGGGAAGCATCCTGTTCATGGGCAGTACTGACACCACACAGGGGCTTTTGTGCAGCAGGAGCTCAGTGATCTCTCAGGACACAGTGCACCAGTCCTGTCACTCACAGTTCTCTTGATTTTGTACAGCTCTTAGCCCAGTCTTCACGTACCCTCATCTGCCACCTGGTGCACAAGGCAACATGGGAGTCTTCATCTTTCATCCTAAAACATCATGAGGACCTGAGATTGAGTTTAAATACAGTGGATGAAAGAAGGGAGATTTGACCTGGGAAAACTGGTCGCCCCGAGGATGAGTTGGTCAGATGTAGGGCATGATGGAGTCCTAAGGTCTATAGGAAGAGGGACACAGCCTCTTACTGACACAGAGAAAATGCTCTTGGTGACATCAAAGAAACAGACTGAGTACAATTTTGCACCTTTGTATATGACATAAAATATAAGAGAAGACTTATACTGGAGGGGTCAAAAACAGTGCAGGACAAAAATAATGGAAGAATGAAAATTAATCGGAGGGAGAACCAAAGAGAGTAGGGGATGCTCAGGGAGTCAAAAATGTGCCAGGGTTAGAAGACCCAGATATGAATCCACACAACCCACCTTATTTTTGACAAAGGTGCCAAAAACATACAATGGAGAAAAGACAGCCTCTTCAACAAATGTTACTGGGAAAAGTGGTTATCCATCTGCAAAAAACCTGAAACTAGATCCATGTTTATCACCCTATACTAGTATGAACTCAAAATGGATCAAGGAATTTAATATCAGACCTGAAACTCCGAAGTTAGTTGAGGAAAGAGCAGGGAATACTCAAGAAGTAATAGGTATAGGCAAGGACTTCCTCAATAGAACCCTAGCAGCTCAGCAACTAAGAAAAAGTATGGACGAATGGGACTACATGAAATTAAAAAGCTTCTGTACAACAAAAGAAATGGTCTCTAAACTAAAGAGACCACCCATAGAGTGGGAGAAAATATTTGCCAGCTATACATCAAACAAAGGACTGATAACCAGAATATACAGGGAACTTAAAAAGCTAAACTCTCCCAAAATCAATGAACCAATAAAGAAATGGGCAACTGAGCTAAACAGAACTTTCTCAAAAGGAGAAATTCAAATGGCCAAAAAACACATGAAAAAATGCTCCCTATCTCTAGCCATAAAGGAAATGCAAGTTAAAACCACATTAAAATTCCACCTCACCCCTGTTAGACTATACATCATCAAAAACACCACCAACAACAGGTGTTGGAGAGGATGTAGGGAAAAAGGAACCCTTGTACACTGCTGGTGGGAATACAAGCTAGTGCAACCACTCTGGAAAAAAATATGGAGGTTTCTTAAAAATCTAAACATAGATCTGCTATATGATCCAGCAATCCCACTCCTGGGGATATTCCCAAAGGAATGCAACACAGGTTACTCCAGAGGCACCTTCATACCCATGTTTATTGCAGTGCTATTCACAATAGTCAAGTTATGGAAACAGCCAGGATGCCCCACTACTGACAAATGGATTAAGAAAATGTGGTACTTATACACAATGGAATTTTACTCAGCTATGAAGAAGAATGAAATCTTCTCATCTGCAAGTAAATGGATGGAATTGGAGAACATCATTCTAAGTGAGGTTAGCCAGGCTCAAAAGACCAAAAATCGTATGTTCTCCCTCATATGAGGACTTTAGATCTAGGGCAAATACAGCAATGTTGTTGGACTTGGGTCACACACTAAGGGGAGAGCACATGTGGGAGGTATGGGGATAGGTAGGAAACCCAAAACATGAAAGTGTTTGATGTCCCCCCACTGCAGAGAAGCTAATACAGAAACCTTAAAGTGAAAGAGGTCAATATGGGAAGACGATTGGGAACTAGTGAAAAGGTCAGTTAGAGATGAATCAATTTGGGTTGTAACACACTTGTGCATGGAAGCAATGCTAGGAATCTCTCTGTATAGCTATCTTTATCTCAACTAGCAAAAACACTTTGTCTTTCTTATTACTGGTTATTTCTTCTCTTCAACAAAATTGGAGAAAAGGGCAGAACAGGTTCTGCCTAGAAGCAAGGGTAGGAGTGAGGGGGACAGGGAGGGGGTAGGGGGCAGGGAGGAGAAATGGCCTAAACAATGTATGCACATATGAATAAATGAAAAAAGAAACACGCCAAGGAAATTCTGAAAGGCATGAGAACACCTCCCTGGATGGACAGACCTCAGGGATCGAGATGATAGAAATCACTTCTGCTAGACATGTCTAGACTTTCTGACCCCCAAGTCCAACTTCTAGGACACATCCCACAGACAAATTCAGAGATGTGCTGTGATCATGTGTTTGTGAGCCTAACAGTGTGTGCAGAACCACTGATAGTAAGAGCAAACTTGAGGCCACTGAGAAACACACCTGCCTCTTCACGGTACCCCTGAGATGGCAAATGTTCAAGGAGTTAAGGCTGCTTCTTGAAAACCAGGGGCCAGTCATAACTTTGGTGAGGAAATAGATAAATAAGGTTGCTTTCAATGCCAGTAGAGAGTGAAGGCCGCATCCTGTCCAATACAGTGAAGTCAGAACCTCCCTCCAGTGTTTGCTCTACATGGGGAAGGGCCATTGGCCTCTTTTGTACCTTCTTCACTGAGGAAGGTTCTGATGGTGCGATAGTCCTATGGACCAACTCTTATGTCACTGGGACAAGGGCCAAATGACTGGCACTCACAAGGTGTCCTCTGAGTGGATTGGAGAAGGTACAATCAAATGATTAAGAACCCATGCATGGTAATGAGGCCACCCCAGATAAAGGAAGTGCTGCAAGAGCTCCATGCTAGAAATTAGGGTGTGTGGGGTGCTCTCACCCATTCCGAGCAAAGTTTGCCCAGTACTTCATCATCCTGCTTCTTAGCAGCATCTCCTCCTCAGTGAAGTTAGTTGCATAGAGGAGGACAAGGTTCAGGTCTGGTCACCATATCAGGGCACCCTGTCAGGCTCCACTCCCTCCATAACCTGACCCTGGACCCCAGGCCAAGTCCCGTTCCCTCCCCTAACATCCAGGGCCAGGACCTCCTTTGCCCAACCTGCACTTATTCATCCCAACCTAGAGCTGCATCTGTACTGAGCTCATTCCTGACCTAGCAGCCCCTTCCTTCCTCTGACTCTGGGACATCATTTAGGAACAATCATACCTGTGAAACCTTCCCCTCAGCACCTATACCTGACACTACGGTGAGTGGGGACCAGTGGAAGGAACACAGGCTAGAGTCTGAGGGAGCTTGGATTCTAACCCCAGTGGTGCCTTTGACGTATAAGATGGTGCACACCTGATTCTATCTCCCTCTGAGCCACAGTTTTCTCCTTCTGGACAGTGAGGACAATCACCCATCAGGTACCTAAGCAGGGTCCATTCCAATTCCTGGAAATGAAGAAAACTCACCATTGCTGTTCAAGAAGTATCCGAAGACAAAAGAAACCTCATTGTCACGGTCAGCCTTCACATGGGTGGCCTGATGTCCTTGAAAAGGCTGGGCCGATGCTGGAACTCATAGAAGTAGACGGGGGCATGGAAACCTAGAGGTGTGGACAGGTTGGGGTGTGGTGTCTGTCACCTGGAGCTACCCTTCTTCACCATTACTGAAGTGTGAGCTAGGACCACAGCTGTCTGGAATCTGGATGATGAGGTGGGGTGCTCCAGGCTGGAGCAGGCCCAGTGGGAAGGCCTTGGTTCAGTCATGGCCTTGGACTCCCAAGCTGTGTGGCCTTGGAAAAGTCACTGACTGTTACTCACAGTTAGTCTTCTGTGAATGGGGTGACATCTGTCACTCACATTAGACATGAGAATGTCTTGATGTGTGGGCCATCCAGTGCTTGGCACTCAGATGATAAAGACGTGGATGGGGACCGGGACACCACAGAGCTCACCTGGGACCCACAGCTCTGAGCTCCACAATGACAGTCAGGCCTCAGTCACAGATGTACTCACGCTGAAAATGTGCTGCTTGGAGCGTAGGCATCACAAACATGAAGTCCCCCATCATCTCTTGGAGCTGAGCTTGGAGTGACCCCAGCACAAGCACACACATACTTCACCCTTTTTGTGGTACTGGGGTTCCTCAGGCCCCATGCTCGCTGGTCATGGGATCTAAGCACTTGAGCCCCAGCATTAGCCCAAGCCCACCCTTCATTCCTTCAGTTTTCTGCATGAGGACGATATCTTGGATTAGCCCTCCAATGGGACCTGACCAGGAATCCTCACTCACCATGTTTGCTGTCATGCTCTCCATAATAGCAGGCAAGGTTCCTCTGTTTGTTTATTTTATGGTTTCAGTGTAGCCCAGGTACTATGTGGTGGAAGAGACTAAGTTGGAGTGACATGTAACTAAAGCCATGAAGCCATATACTACTAGCCCCTCCTCCCCACTAGATGAGATTCCTGGGGTCCCAAGAACTTGGAACTGAGACTCTTAAAGACTAGAGAGAAAATGGGGCTTTTGTAGAGGTGGACGTGGGATTTTGACATCCTGGTGTGGGTAACATTGCCCCAAACACCTCCTTCATTTGAAAGGAACGGGGATTTGGAAGAGAAGGAGAGGGAGAGAGGAGGAGGGAAGAAGAAAGAGGTAAGCCAAGAAGGCGGGGGCCCAGGGCCAGTGTGGTGTGGAATAATAGGACCATGCATTGAGCCTCATCCATCCACATTTTCCGGTGTGCATTTATTGAACGTGTCTAGTAAGAGAGGGCTCAGGCTGGCTTGGCAAGGAACAGCATGCAGTAGGTTCTTCGTAAGTGTAGGCTGAATGCCTGGATATATGTCTATGTGAATGATGGACTCAACCCCAGCTCCTCTCTGGGCATGTAGGTTCTTCAGGCTGACTGCCAGGACACAAGCCCACCCTCTTCTCAGACACAGTCTGCTACAGCTCTGTATGCATCTCAGCCTCTGTGAGCTCCTGGATCTTCTGGGCCAGGGTTTTGGTCCAGAACTCCAGCCTGGAGGCCTTCAGGGCCCGGCCCACAGCGGGCTGGATGTCCAGCTGCAGGTACTGCTCATCCTGGTCGAGCACGGGCCAGTGGGGCAGGTCCTCACTGTTGGGGTTCCTGTAGACACCACAATCCAGTAGGGTGGGGAGTCATTATGAGTCCCTTTAAGCCCAGTCTTGAGCCCCCAGATCTTTGTCCGCTATTTTTCTTTGTCCCAGCAGGCCAGGGGTGTGTGGAAAATGAAGACCACATCCTGTCCAGATGTCGTAAAGCAATAACCTCCTACCAGTGTCCGGTCTACACGGAGCAAGGCCACTTGGCCTGTTTTGTCCCTCCTTCTCTGAGGCAGGCACTGATGGTGCCATAGTATTACAGCCCAAATCTCATGTCACTGGGATAAGGGATAAATGACCAGCACTCACAAGATGCCCTCTGAGTGGGACCTGTGGTTGGGGACAGTACTATCATATGATGAAGGACACATGCAAGGTAATGAGGCCACCACAGACAAGGGGCATGCTGGATGGGCTCCACGCTGGAAAGTTTGGGGTAGGGGGTGCTCTCACCCATTCCGAGCAAAGTTGGCCCAGTACTTCATGATCCTCCTGCTTAGCAGATTCTCCTCTTCAGTGAAGTCAACTGTACAGAGGTGGGCAAGGGCAAGGTCTGGCCACCATATCTGGAGGATCAGTCAGATATCCTCTATATCCTGACCCTGGACCCCAGGCTCCACCACCCGGGCAAGGCCCTCCTCTTGCTCATCCTGCTCTTACTCATCCCAGCCTCAGCTGCATCTCTTCTGAGCTCATTCCTGACCTAGCAGCCCCTTGTTTCCTCTGACCCTGGAAGTCATTTAGGAACAATCATGCCTTTGAACCCTTCGTATGATGAAGGACCATGCATGTAATGAGGTCACCACAGACAAGGGGAGTGCTGGATGGCTCCATGCTGGAAAGTTTGGGGCACATATACCAGACAGTGTTGGGTGGGGATGGTGGAAGGAACACAAGCTAGAGTTAGAAGGGGCTTGGATTCTAACTCCAGTGCTACCTTTTGAACTATAAGATGGTGTTCACCTGACCCTGTTCTCTCTCTGAGCCTCAGTTTCCTTATATGGACAGTGAGGGCAATCACCCCTCAGGAACTGAAAAAGAGCCCAGCCCCATTTCTGGAAATGAAGAAAACTCACTTTTGCTGTTCAAGAAGTATCCAAAGACAAAAGAAGCCTCATTGCCATGGTCAGCCTTCACATGGGGTGGCCTGATGTCCTTGAAAAGGCTGGGCTGATGCTGGAACTCATAGAAGTAGACAGGGGCATGGGAACCTGGAGGAGAAGACAGGCTGGGATGTGGTGCTCTCTCACCTGGAGCTTCCTCCCTCATCCTTGGTGATGAGTTAGCTAGGTCCAAGGTTGGATGGAATCTGGGCAATGATGTGGGGAGCCCCAGGCTGGATCAGGCCAGGTGGGAAGGGCCCTAGTTAAATCACGGCCTTGGAGTACCTAACTGCGTGTTTTGGAAAAGCCACTTTCTGTCAGTAACTGAGTTTTGTCTTCTGTAAAATGGGGTGACATCTGTTTCTTACACTTGTCATGAGAATTTACTGACATTTGGGCCATTGAGTGCTTGGCACTCAGGGCTGGATAAGGACGTGGATGGGGACCAGGACACCACAGAGCTCACCTGGGACCCACAGCTCTGAACTCCCCAATGCAGTCAGGCCTCAGTCACAGATGTACTCACGCTGAAAATGTGCTACTTGGAGCGCAGGTATCATGAACATGAAGTCCCCCATCATCTCCTGGAACTGGGCTTGGAGAGTTTGGGGGTCCTCAGTGTCTCCCATGTATTCTTCCATCAAGAGGTCACCACAACCAGCAGGCAACCCCTAGCCCAGGCAGGGAGAGTCATAATAGGCAGACTCCAGGGCATGGAGTCAGCAGCCTCAGGCTAGGGATATGGGGCCAGGAAGGAACCAGTTAGACTGGGCAAAGGTCAAGCTCTGGGGTGATCCCACCAGAAACACACACATACCACACCCTTCTTTCTTTTTGTGGTACTGGGTTCCTCAGGGCCTCATGCTTGCTGGTCAGGCAGTCTAACACTTGAGCCTTAGCACCAGCCCAAGCTTACCCTTTATTCCTTCAGTTTACTGCATGAGCAAGATATCTTGGGATAGCTCTCCAATGGGACTGGACTCTGGAATCCTCACTCACCATGTTTGCTGTCATGCTTTCCATAATAGCAGGCAAGGTTCTTCTGTTTATTTTCTTTATGGTTTCAATGTATCCCATGTACTGAGTGGTGGAAGGACAGTTGAAGTTTGGGGTGACATGCAGTTAAAGCCATGAAGCCACATACCACTATGTTCGCCCCAATAGAAAGATTAATCGGCTCCCAAGAAGTTGGAAATGAGACTTACCATGGGGAGGACAAAGCCATACTCATCATTGTTAACACCTATGATGCTGGGGACAGGTCGAAAATCTGCAGAGGCCAACAGCTCCTGGGGGTGCCTGGGTAGGAAGGCCCCATCTACCAGTCCAGGTATGGTCTTGAAGGGCTGAAGGGGCATTCAAGGTTAAGGATCAAGGTTACAGGTCCAGGATATTTTCCGATGCTCTTGAGTTACTTCTGCCCATTCTTATTCACCCCAGGATGCTCACACCCTTTCAAAGAGATCTTACACCTAGTTTAGTCTCTCATGTTATCTATTCTGCATTCATGGTTCAAGGACACCACGTCATGGAATAAATGTAATTGACTCAGAGTAGTAAGACTGGCTCCCCACACCCTATTTATATCCCAATCACACATACCCATACTATTTAGCCTGACCTTGTTAATAGCCAGAATCTCCTCTTCACTCTTGCCCCTCAGGCAGTCTACCAGGGCCTCTGAGTCCACCTGCTCACAAGCAGACAGATTGGCCACCATCTGTAAAGAGACCAGGCAGGGACTGTCTGATCCTTTCAGACAGAAGAAAGGCTTTTCCCAGACCCCAACTTGGTGCATGTGTTCCTAAATCTAATAGGTGGCAGTGTGTGGATTGCTGGAGGTGTGAAATTGTTTCAACTTCCCTTATTTTCAGAGGTCCCAGCTAGAGAGGCCACCCTACCTGCTTACAATGTTCTCTCCATGAAAGGGGTCCTAGAGTGGCAGCTGCCTGGCAATAGAGCACACTGACCCTCTATGAGGCTAAGGACTGTGCATTCTGACCTTTGAGCTTTTCATCAATTCACAGGACAGAGACATTTTCCAAGGTACCTCCATGGAACCAGAAGTTCTGAAGGTGTTGGTGAGGCATGTCTAGGCTGGGGTGTTTGAGGGCACTCACTGTGTAGACCATCTCAGAAGAGCTGGAGGTGAGGTCTGGCAGCAGAGCCACCCCACTCTCCATGATGGCACCATGGAAGAGTCCTTGGGACATGGGGGACACAACATGTGAGGACACACTAGTGCCACCTGCAGACTGGCCAAAAATGGTGACACGGTCAGGGTTGCCTCCAAAATGGTCGATATTTTGCTGGACCCAGCGTAGGGCGGCTACTTGGTCCAGGTAGCCCCAGTTGCCGGTGGCATGTTGGTCTCCAGTGCTGAGAAGTGACAGCGATATGGGTCAGAGTGTTGTCTGGCCCTACTCAACTCTCATTGTCCAACCCCACCCTAGGCTCACCTGAAGAAACCCAGGACACCCAGGCGGTACTGGATGGTGACCACCACCACATTCTCAGTGGCTGCCAGTATGGAACCATTGAACATGGAGGCCATGCCTATAACAAGTGCACCTCCGTGGATCCACACCATCACCTGGGGAAAACGAGACAGTTTTCACCAACTCTGACCCATCCCAAACCCCATCCAGGCTGCTGTCTAGATTGCTCATATAAGCTCTGTGCAGCTGCCCATACAGAAAGAACTCTCAGTCACCCCTGTCCCGCGCCATGAATTAGGGACCCAAGATCAGTCAGTATAACTTTTGGGTTCACACCGTGAATCCAAATTGGATTAAAGGCTCTCAGAATGGAATAATGGTGCCATTATTATCAGACACTTATGAAGAGAAAAGAAAAGGGATGTTTCCCTGAGTGGCTCACCTAAACATTAATCAAAAGTGTCATCTAACCTCATTGGCACAACAGATAATGCATGGCTGAGGACTTGGGTGATCTCAAGGTCTTCTGGGCCTAAGTTCTTAGAGTGAGCCCTCAGTTGATTGACAGGCCAAGACCTCCAACCTCTGGGAGCTGCCAGGCCTCTATGCATGGTTGGTTTCCCTCTCTGGGTGAGAAGGCCTTTTGGACATGATGAGTCTTCTCATTGGGGTTCACATAATGTTGGGAGCCAGGAGACCTTGGCCTTTTCAATCTTCTTGTAAATAAATGTCCTCTCTTCCCAGGTCACCATGGGGTATCACTCACAGGCAGGTTGGAGCCCTCCTGGGCATAGGCAGGTGAGTAGATGCTGAGATACAGGCAGTCCTCAGACATGGAGACAGGAGGCAGGGTCAGCTTAAGCTGCTTTACAGCACCTGTATTCATTTTGTCAGAATTTTGCAGACACCTGGACAAAATGGCAGACAGATATTCTCAGGACTGTATAGTGGTCAAAATGAGATGCAGGGGCTGGATTTGCTCCCATCCACACTCAGACACTGCTCCCGTCTTGCCCGGACACACAGGCCTTTCTTTAAATTCCCTCCCCACCAAGGCACAGGCCACAGGCTCTAGAGCAGCTGGAATGAAGCCAGACTTCCAGGGAAGCTTCAAGGTTGTTGAGGGCCTCGGATCTCACTTCTATTGAGGCTTGGGAAATCATGACTCCTAGCAGTCTCTACAGGATCCATTGACTGCAAATGTTGACATTCACCACTTCTCCCTGTCCCCATCATGTCTGGAACAGAAGAGCTGCCACCGGAAAACCTGTCACACCACCTACAGGTGCTGCATGAATGATTGGAGATCACTTTCCCATAGGGTAGTAGGATGTCCCTCATCCCAAGTCCAGACTAACAGGAAACGTCAAGCCTCTCATGTGTCTCCAGTGGGAAGCAGTTAAACCTGATCCTTTGCTAATGTGCCTGTAGGTTGGCACAGTGACTGTGGAGGGTGGGTGCCTCAAGGAACCACCACTGTTGCCCTCCTCAGGGACCTGGAGTATCTTCTGCTGGAACTAAGGGCTTTCAGATGTTCATGGAGCCAGCCTCTCCCATAGACACCTCCCCTGTTGGCATGGAACACTGGGAATAAATGGAAACAGGGCCCAAGTGTGTCTGTGCTCCTCTCCCAGCACCAGCAGCTAACACTGTCCAGGTGCCAAGCCCTAAGCTCAAGCCTGGCAAAGTGGTTCCACTCTAAGAAGCTTAGCACATTCATTGGAAAAATGCATGTGGAATCCTCCCAATGCAGAGGGAAAATGTCTGTGGGTTCCGATGGAAGAACCAGTAGGCCTGGCCCAGAGCTCAGAGCGCCCCACCACAAAGTCCTGAAGTTCCCTGGGCCCTGGGAGAGCTTACATGGCTGGGTGGGAGGTCCCATCCCTCACACCACTCCATGGTGCAGCAGGCTCAGGGGGCGCAAACCGCAGCGGTCCAAGAGGTGGCTTGGCAAAGGGAATTCCCAGGAAGGTGTGGACCCCCACATCGGTGCCCTTCACGTGGACGAGGCTGCCCCGCACCTGCCCTGTGAGAGTGGTCCTGATGGGGCTGGCTGAGTCCTGGCCTGTGGGTGGAGAGAAGCACATGAGAGCTGGGCCTGCCCAGTGAGATGTCATGCACGCTGTGAGTGTTGCTGCCTCCCTGCTACTCCCAGGTCTGCCTTGTCAAGACACTTGTCTGCAAACACTGACCATGTTCCTCCTTTCACACTGCCCTGCCCACACCACTGGCTACTTAATTCTATTTTCATGAAAAGTTCAAAATTTTCTATTACTAATAAGACTAGCAGGTTGGTGTCCACGGCTGAGATTGGGGTTGTGTTTTGGGGCAAGGGGAAAGGAGGGGCTGAAATCTGTGAATGCACTAAACACCATTGAAGTACATACTGTGCTTAAGGCCCAGGGCAATTTGATGGTTCTTCTGAAGAAGCCAGGACTGGGTGGTACAGGCAAGGGTGGGACCCACCATTGTGCCAATTATACTTGTCCCTCCATGTCAGTGAGTTCAGTATCCCTGAATTCAATTAATCTTGCAGATTGAAAAAATTTGAAAAAACTGTGCACTTCTTCATCATACACAGGCTTTTTTCTTGTTGCTGTTTACTAAACAATGTAATATAACAACTATTTATACAGCATTCATGTTGTAGGCATTGTAAGTAATCTAGAAGTTTCTCAAAGTATGCAAGCTTAGTGATAAATACTAGGCCATTTATCTTTTTATTGTAGTTGTTCTACTGGGGTTTGACCTCAGGGCTTCATGCTTGCTAGGCAGGTGCTCTACCATTTGTGTCACTCCACCCACCCTGTTTAGTGATTTTTTTTTTTGATATAGGGTCTCCTGAACTGTTTTCCTGTGCTGGCTTTGAACCTCAACCTTCCTGATCTCTGTCTTCAGAGTAGGATTACAGGCATGAGACACTAGTACCAGGCCCCATATAGTCTTTTTGAATGTGGATGCAAGCCCATATACTATTTTATTTTTTTGGTGGTACTGGGATTTTAATTGAGGGTCTAATGCTTGCTAGGCAGGTGTTCTGCCACTTAAGCCACTCCACCAGTCCTGTTATGTATTGGGTATTTTTGAGATAAGGTCTCCAGAACTATTTGCCTGGGGCTGGCTTTTAACATGATCCTCCTGATCTCTGTCTCTCTGTCCTATTTTAAATGGACTCATCAGTTAAGTGTTGCTTTGAAGGCCTGGTGACTTCCAGATCCTGACCAAGAGCAGGTGAGGGAGGGAGCCCAACAGGGTGGGCCATGCATGGGGGCTTCTTAGGGCAGATTAGATTGGGGAAAGGGGTAAAGATATCATCAGGGCTCACACAAGGGGATTTTGGGGTGAGTGAGATCAAGGGCTGCACATATATTCTGGGTATGGAGCCCTTTCATGCATTAGCTTCTGATAAGGTCCTGGAGAGTATGCGGCACACACAGAGCAGATCCCCTTTGTCCTGGGAGCCAAGCCATGCCTTTGTCCCTGGTCAGTTCATATTATGAAATGAACCCTCCGTTTAGCTTTGTGAGTAGCGCTGGGGGTTTGTGTATCCCTCCAGGGCCAGTAACCTTGACTGGAGCCCTTTTGGAGGATGTCAGGGTGCTTTTCTTGCCCAGGAGATGTCACATGCAGAGACAAATAGAACTGTGAAAGTATTTTCATTATTTGCCAAACACAAATATAAGAGGAAAGGTTCTAAATCCCATCCCAGGTTACCGACCCACCCTCCTGGCTCTTCACAACCCTCCTTAATCACCTGCCTGTTCAGTGATGTGTCCTCAGACAGCCCAGACCCTGGTAGTTTCATGGACCCCCCTGGGCCTTTGGACATGTTAGGTGGGCACAAGGTTTCCACACTGCAAATTTTTTTTTTATCACAAATGTAATAGAACCAGAAAAGAAAAACCTTCTGCATAGCTTGTCTGCTGAACACTTTACTCTGCTAGTTGGTTAAACTGACTTTCTTTTCCTCCTTATCTAAATGCTAGAGAATCTGATAACAAAGGTTAACTCCCTTTGCTCTTCAATTACCCTGGTGGTCTTCTACCCCTTATCTTTTCCTGACCACCAAAGCAGTAAACCTTCCACCAAGATACAGCTTCAGAAAAGTGGTGACAGACACCTGGAGAATCAAGTAACCAAGGTGGACATACATATAGTCACCCAGTCAAGCTCACCCCCTGAACTCTCCTTTAAAAGGTGGACATTTTCTCTCAGACATGGGAAAACAGAGCTTTGTTGAGTGGTTGATTCTTCCTGTCCTCTTCGTCTGAAAATTAGTAAACTTTATTTTCTTTTCCTCAAAGCTATCTCTAATTATTGGTAAATTGTGAAATGGCATTAGGCCAGAGGACCAGTTCTTTCCTTCCTGAAGCCCTTCTGCTCCCAGTCTCAGGCTGTGCCTCTGCACAGTGTGGCAGATCTGACTCTGGTCCCTGTCACCCCCTGCAGAAGTCTCACCTTGGACTTGGAAGAGGAGAAGCAGAAGCCCACAGGCCACGGTTCTTAGCCACATAGGAAGTTGTTCCAGCCGCATGGTTGACTCGCTGAACTGTGTCTGCAGTGTTTCACTGACAGGCAACTGAGGATCAGAGCCTCACCCTGACTGAAGTTTGGACACGGAAGGGGTAGGAACAGTGCCAGGTGGGTGTTGCAGGGGAGTGGCACTGAGCAGGCAGAGGTCACAGGAAACCAGGGGTCAGCAGGCAGAACACGGCTGCCGCTCCTCTTCCCATGTCCCCTTCAGCTCCTCCAAAGTTACTGTGTGGCTTCTGCTGCCCTCACAGTTACCAGAAAGCCCCTCCACAGACCTAGAGTCACTGCACTGGTCACAGTCTCTGCAGCCTTAGTTCTGATCACTAGACTGTAGGGGATGGAAAGAGAGAGCAGAAGGCTATAATTGGAGAAGCCAGGAGGGCTTCACTGTGGAGGTGCTTGTTCAGGATCCCAGAGATGAATAATGGCTACCGCCTTTGGTGAGGTGAAGGAAACTGTTTGAGCAAGTGCCCTTGCTGTGCCCTTCTTCTAATTAACTGTGTCCTTCATCTGCACAGCTCCTCCAGGCCATCAGGACACACGGTTTACTCATCCCTTTCATCAGTCCCAATCTCTTACAGTCCATGATCTTTCTGCACTTAGCCGTGACCCTTCTTTTCAACACATTTGAGACTGTGGCACTTCTGCATGTCTCCCATCACCCCCCGCCCCTCCCCCCGCCCCTCCCCCCCACCCTGTCCAAATCCAGTGCACAGTCTCGTAATCACAGGAATAATCATGAAACGAGAGCCTGTTTGTCCTGGCACTAGGAATCAGTTAGCAAACCTCAAGGCCTTTCGTGGGTCACAGGAGGCAGGGCCCCATCTGGAGGTTCTGAAATACCCTGAGTGACGTGTGGATGGAGGGCAGCCAGCCTAGGTCCGGGTGCATCCACCCAGCCTGACTTCCCAGAGGAAAAGATGTCAAGCTCAATCTCAGACAGCCTGTAGTGCTCCCTGAAATCCAGCAACTACCTTTGTGGTTCCTGCCCCCCTCAGCCACTCAAAGCCCCCCAGCATGGTGTTGGTCCCTTCTCAGAGCCATGGTGGGAGCTACCACATTTCCCTGGCTCTGAGTAGCCAGCATGTTGGACCATTGCTTCTCCTTGACCTCCACCCAACCATCATGACCTGCTGTCCGTTCAGGGTCTCCCATCCACTGTATTCTGGTCCAAGCCATATTGCAGTCCCTGTCTGGGCAGATGCTCTCCCTGACTTTAATTTTCTTCATCTAATTAACAGCTGGGCTGTGGGGTGAACGATTCCAAGTCCGACCATCCCAGGGTCATATTATAAGATCCTTCATGTTAACTGGACAGCAACAGGGTTTCTTCCTAATTCCTAATTCCGAGACTGCTGTCTATCACATTGGCAAGGTGCTCTTTTGTGCTGACACTTCTGCTCCATCAATTCCTTGGCATTGGTCATGGCCGAGATCATAATAAAAATGTGGAATGAATGAATCTCAGAAGTATATAAGGATAGAGGGAGTGAGAAAGAGAGTAAGAGAGAGAGAGAGAGTGCACTATGGGGGTAGGGGGATGGAGGCAAAGTCTAGGGAAACATTGCAATGACACACCTGTTCAATTAAGTCAGATTTAAGGCCCATAAAACCAAATGTTCATGATGAAATGGAACAGCTGGCACCAAGTTTGCCTCTGTACAGTTTGGGCTTCTGACTCTGGTCCCTGTCACCTCCACATGAGCCTCACCTTGGCCCCAGAGAAGAAGAGGCAGGAGCCCACAGGCCACGGTGTTCAGCTGCACTGGGTGTCATTCTAGGGGCATGGTCCTCTCTCAGGCCTAGGTCAGCTCTGCAGAACAGGCTCAGCCTCGATGACAGGCAACTGAGATCTGGCTGGACTTTGCTCCCAGCAAAAAGAGTTGGGGCTCTGGCTTGGCCTGGCAAAGCAGGGCTACAAGAGAGTGGCACTGAGTAAACAGATTACAAGGGGGGCCAGGGCTACATTTAGGGTGTGGTTGCCTCCCCTCTTCCTGTGCCCCCTTTTGCCTCTTCTAAATGTGCTGAGTGCCTTTTGCATCACCTCCAAAATACCAGGAAGCCCTGCCTGAATCCTGCAGTACCAAGTTCACTGTCCTTGCAGTCACAGGTCCGAAGAAGACATTGAGGGCAGAAAGGAAAGAGCAGGGACTGTTTGAGAACTTTGACAGGGCAAAAGCAACCACTTGAGCAGAGGCAGGGAGCTGTGACTGTCCCCTTCACCATGCAATTCCTCCTTGCTCTCAAGGACTCGTGCTTTACCGGGATTCTTCAAGGCTCTCGACCTTTAGGTTCATGGTCTCTGGGTCTGCAAGGACCCATCCCTATTTGGGAAGGGCTGTTCCGTGGACACACACTGTGACAGCACTTCTTAAGGCTTATCCAACTACTCTCCCCATCCCACCCTGTGACAGCCCTAGAGGCTAGCTCCCACCAAGAACAAATTCACAGTCATTTACCCATTTGACAAGATTTCATGGGAACTTGCTGGTTGCAGAGTTTGTGATGAGATAGGGCTCTATGGACCTGTGCTAATCCTGGGAAGAGACTTAAAATCTCGAGTTTCTCAAACAACTTAGAATCCTGCCTGGATACAGCAAAAACAGCCTGATGTACCAGAGGAAGTGGTGTGGGATTTGAACTCAGACAGCTTTTAATGCCGTCTGGGAACAGGCCTTTGGTTTTTCATTCTACTATCCAATGATCTTGGGCACACACAGAGCACCATGACAAGAATTCCTTCTTTGTGCCTTTCTGGGAGAGATTATTTCCCCTGACACAGCATGGCCAGGGCTTCCCTTGACCTCTACCCAATCAGCAAGGCCTGCTGTCAATTCATTGTCTCCCATTGGAAGCACTCTGGTTCCAGTCAGTCCCAGTCCCTTCTGGGAAAATTGTCTCTCTGCCCTTAATTCTCTTGACCTAATTCATAGCTGGACATGGATCTGAGAATCCCAGCTCCTATCTCAGAGTCATGTTACAAGCTCCATCATGTTAACTGGACAACACAGGGCTTGTTTCTAATCTTGGGGCTGCTGTCCACCACTGCCAGAGTGAAGTCCCCATGTGCTCTACCACTTCCTGCACTATCTTACAGAGGTCCTGGCATCCGTGATGGCTAAGAGCGTAGAAAAAGAGTTCGATGAGGACTTCTCAGGAGCATTTCTATGTGCATGGGGGGGTGATGAAAACTCACTATATACAGTGGTCCAGAGAGAGAGGGAGAAAGAGAGAGAGAGAGAGAGAGAGAGAGAGAGAGAGAGAGAGAGAGAGAGAGAGAAATAGGCAGATAGAGACAGAGAGACACAAAGAGATATTGAGACAGAAATATAAATGAAGAAAGAAGCAGAGGTTAATAGTTCAGTGAGAGTCAGACTTGGTGACACACATCCATAATCCCAGTAATTAGGAGGCTGAGGCAGTAGGATCCTGAGTTTAATTAATTAACTAATTAAAAAATAAAATGGCTGGCTGTGTAGCTCAAGTGCTAAGAGTGCCTGCCCAGCAAGTATGAGGCACTGAGTTCAAACCCCAATGTTGCATATATATATAATAAAAATTGAAAAGTTCGGGGAGACATCTGACAGGGAGACACCATGACACACCTATTCAATACGACAGATTGAAGAGCCATGCCATCAAATGTTAGGGACATGGAGCAACTAGCACTGCCATTAATGGGTGGTGGGGATGCAAAATGACCTAGTCAATATGGAAGACAGTTTGGCATTTTCTTTAAGGGAAACACACACTTGTTGTATGACTTGGCAATTCCATTCTCAGAAAGTGAAGTGATGTCTGAAAATGTACATAACAGTTTGATTAAAAGAGCCAAAAGCAGTGCTTGGTGGCATATGCCTGTAAACCCAGCACTTGGGAGGCTAACAGAGGAGGATTGGATTTTTTTGAGTCCAGTCTTTACTACCTACAAAAGCTGGTCTCAAAAAAAAATGAACCCACAAAAAATAACCCAAAATGGAAGTTACTTAGATGTACATCAATCCATGTGGTGTGTGCACACATGAGACGGCTCCCCTCGGTAAAAGGAAGGAAGTGTTCCTTGAAACTCAAAGACATTATGCCTGGTGGCACAGCAAGTCACCAATGATTCCTTTAATATGACGTGACAGAAAGGGCTGTAACATTTCCAAACTGTGTATAGTTTCCAAACTACAGTTGACAGAAAGCAATCGGGTGTTTGCTAGGAAGCAGGGTCCAGGACACTGAGTAACTGTAAAGGGGTGTGAGGATGAGCACTGGAGTGAAAGAAGAGTTCTAATACTGGATGTGGGGGTGACTCCATGTCTCATACATTGTCACAACTTTACAAAGTACGCAGAAAATGGCTGAACTTAATTACATGTAAATTAGACCTCAATAAAGCTCTTATAAAACAACTACTAAAAAATAAAAGAAGTTTCCTGGGAACCCCCTTGGGGAAGCATCCTCTGCAGCGACAACACTGCGACCACACAGAGGACTGTGTGCAGCAGGAGCTCAGTGATCTCTCAGGACACAGTGTACCAGTCCTGTCACTCACAGTTCTCTTACCTCTCCCAACTCAGCCCAGTCTTCATGTATCCTCATCTGCCACCTGGTGCACAAGGCAACATGGGAATTTTTATCTTAATCCACAGGTCATATGGCCCTGATGTTGGATTTAAATACAGTGGATGAAAGAAGGGGGATTTGACCTGGGAAAAATGGTGACTTCAGAGGATGAGTTGCCAGAAGGAGAGCATGGTGGAGTCCTAAGGTCTATAGGAAGAGAGACACGGCCTCTCAATGACACAGAGAAATTGCTTTGGGGGACCAGACAAGCAGATTGAGCACAATCTGGCACCTTCGTATGACATAAACTGTAAGAGAAGACATGTTGGAGGGGTCAAAAACAGTATAGGGACAATAATGTAATAATGAAAATTAGCCACATGGTAGAACAAGGAGAGTAGGGGATGCTCAGGGAGTCAGAAACTTACCAAGGGAACTCTGAAAGCTAGGAGGACACCTCCCTGGATG